TTGTAACATTTAACAACATTCAGTACAATTCATTTTTCAAAATTGCTTTAAAACAAAAACATAATAGCATAATTATAGTTCATACTCTTGTGAGGTAAAGTAGAATCTGCCTGAAGGATTTAACAGGAACAAACATATGGTGCAGGTTGGTTAATAGGGTTATGATATGAACTAAAATAAAAGATGGAGAACAACAATTTAAATAGTGTGTGAAGCTGCAATGATAGATTATATTCAATATGAATTATCAGAGTTCTTTTAATTAGAAAAATGTGATTATTTGTGGCCTATTACAGCTTTGTGCAATTACCAAGACACAAAGTGGTACTTTTGGCACAATTATTAAAACCACAAACTCATGTTGCCTTTCATCTATTGAACAGATATGTTAAACCATAAGCACATCGTCTGCTTTACACTTAGTTTGATATTCCAAAATACACTTTTTGCAAATAACTACTCACTCTTATTTAGCCTACATTAGATAGGTTATTCAAAAACCGACAGCCTGTGTGTTGTTTACAAAGCACTGCCACTGAAATACCACACTCAATTATCAAGCCCCTGCAACCAGAATGCGCATAAAAAATTAGATCACTTAGAAACCTGAGCTTGAACACTTTGTGCACAACAATGGAGGCCAATTTTGGAGAGAGAGTTAGAGGAAGAGGTAAATGCAATATACTGTATGTTGTCTTCAGTACCATACAGTAACTATGTTCATGTCATCTTTTCGCTCAGTAAAGTCATTGTGTCTGATACTGTTATGAGTATTGAGAATAAACCTATTTGTGGTTTCCACATTGCATGTGTTCATTCATAGTCCATATTTACAGCGTGCTACACGTGAAAATGCCTAAATCTTTGACTTGAATGTCTTGTTTATTAATCAACTAATGGACAGTGTTTCAATTCAGTTCATGTAAGCGTTACACACACATTCCTCTTTTGAGCGTCTAGTGATTATGGCCTGCATGTCTTTCTGTTCTAACTCAGCTGTCAGCTTCTTAGCAGTTTAGACAAACATCAAATTCATAATGTGTAGACTACTTGGACAAAATAATGCTTAACAACTGTTCCATTACTGAGTGAACTGTTTTAGGGGTCGACTGTATGAGATATCGTTCTCCCGCTTGCTGCTGGGTGCAGGTGAAAGTAGGGCCACAGTTCTGTTCACATCGCTGACATTTGTCACAGGTAAATCTTGCAGGTATGCAACAAACAGTCTATGGTTGTCATAGCGACAAGCTGGACACTGGATTTACAGACACAATACAAACTGGAAGTCGTACAAACCGGAAGTCAGCGAAATAAAGTTATGCACAGAGCTTGCATACTTGTGGAAGGAGTGAAGTTAGGTAGTTGGTAGGGAAAAGCTCCATTTGGGAGAGAGCAGGAGACCAGTGCCACGTCCTGCCGGGGTGGATGTGTTGGATGGAGTAATCAGGTCTCAGTGAGAGCAAGGAAATCCAGAGGCTGCAGGGAGGACCTAGACCTAATGAGCCCTTCTTCAGCAACTCTAAATTAATGTAAGATGTCTTTTAAGTAAAATTATACCAAAGTGTTGAGTTGTTTCAACCAATTTATGGCGTTAAGAAACAGTTTTCCATATCAGCTAGATTTATTGACAGTATTGTTGGGGAAATAATTCACATTCTGATTTGTTTGAATGTTAGAGGTTATTGTAATATACTGAAATAAAAGCAGTAAACATGTTTACTGCTTTTATTTCAGTATAATACAATGCACTTACAATAATTGTTCAGGACCTGATTTTCAATCTACTTTAAGTTTTAAATAAGCCATCTCTCCATTTACCTTAAGGTTTTTGTTAACACCCTTTGTGAAGTTGGCAAACATGAGACTCTGGTGTGGAATGTAGGTGGACAGAAAAGAGAAACATCCATTAAAGCATCGGATCAGCAGTCATCAGTACAATATTTTTAACACCATTACCTATATTGTGGGTTGTAATCTCAAATGTATACCTTAACCTCTGTGTTTTTTGTTTGGAATTAAATAGACCTACAATACATGTGGTGTTAAAACAGATTGAATTAAAAAAGTAATTAGTTAAACATTCCATTACACTTTATGTTGATTTCCAAAACCTGGCTCTAAGTATTGAAGGCCTCTTTGAAAATAATTGGTCCAGCTCGTCATTAAAAGCACTTTTTATTTACACAGTAATATGTAGAAGTGATTTAACAGTAAGCTCGTGGGAAAGGGTCATGACAGAACAAACGCGTATTAAGACTAAAAAAAAAGTTGAACTTTTCTAACATCACATTAATACACCAATGCAAACACAAAAGAGAAAGAAAACTAAAGACTGCATTGTTGAACTCAAATACACTGTTTGTCAATCATATTGGGAATATACAAACATCAGAATCAGTCCCTGAGGTGTTCTTTAACAAAGCCCAGAGAGCACTTTAATTCACACTTTTATCCCAGAATAGATGTTTTAAAGGTATTTCCACTGAATAAAAATACATTTCAGTCAAACATTATAAAAACGCTAAAGAGCATCCACTGGCAGAAGGTGCACTCCAAAGGATCTGCGTGGAAAATCTATGAACACATACACCTGTTCCAGATGAACTCAGTATCTTCCTCACAGGCTCTGATCTGAGCTTTGATGACACAGGGTTGTCGTTGTTAAATTAAAATTAATACATTTAAATGTCATAATCTGGGAAAACAAAAAAACAAAAATTGGGGGAAGGCTACTTTTAGTGCAGCAGTATTCATTATTCACATACCCAGATTGCTCTTCCCTTGGCATACACAGTATACAGATGTGAGTTCCCTCTAAAAGAACACATTCATCATTCCTACAATGTAACATCATCCAGGATTGCTGACAAACTGATGTTATTAACAACATCTCCCAGAGCCAACCTTTTTTCAATTTCTCTTTTCAAGAGCTGAAAAGTTTAACAATGATCATGAACTGACATGATAAAGAAAGAGTCAAAGCTCTGCAGAATAACCCTGGTGTAATCAGATGATCATATTGGCTGGAAATGACAAAGGAGATGTCACAGGTATAAATCAATATGAACATAAAGCTTAAAACAAGTTCAACCTTTCAGGGAAAATGTTTTCCTTTTTTTTTTTTTTTTTAAATGGTAGATATGGTGATGGTCTTCGCTTCTTGAAAACAAGACATGGTTGTGAGCAAGAAGTCGGGGCAGGGGGTTGATTGTGCTTGACTGAGCCCTCAGCTGTCAATCATCTCTGAGAGTTCCTGCAGCAGGTCATCCTCTTCGATGCCAGGGTCCATGTCTCCCTCCAGATGGTCGTCGGTAAACTCGTTTATCAGCTCCTCAAAGTCATCCACGGCGGAGGTGGAGACGGCAGTGCTGGAGGTGGAGGTGGTGCGGGCTGCGCTCTGTCTCCGTGACTTTGGCTGTGTGGGGGACTTCAGGACTGGGCTGAAGATACAGAGAGGCCTGTTATTCATGTAATAACCAACAATGCTGCATTCATGTCATATGCGGGGAAAAAATAATCTAACAATTTTCAACGGGATTGTCAGTTAAAAATGGGCAAAGATACAGTATTTATAACTGAAATACATTACTTAATAGAAATTGACTTATTGTGTTATTTGGAAGAGTTGTCAAAAACGTTTGACATTTTGTTGCCTTACTGATGTATTTGTTAAATAAAATGCTCTGTAATGTAGCAGACTGGACTGGTTGCTCTTAATCAGAATGTCACACCCCTCACTTTAGGAGAGTTAAAATATTCACGTGAATACAAGTTGTAAATAAAGTTGTTATCACAGTTAAAAATGGTTCCTATAATGTTAATACTATCATATCACTCCTGACGCCTGCCCACAGACATTTGCTTGGTGAAGTCTTACACTACCAGTCTGAGCTTTACCTTTGGGGGACGGTACAGGCATCTCTGACAGCCTGTGGGGTCTCTTGGCTCTGTGTGAAAACTGGGACAGTCTGGAGCTCCTCTGTCAGGGGGCTGCAGCCCGACCCTAAGTCTAGTAGGGTGCTGGGACTGCGGGGGACAGCGGCGCTCAGTTGAGCCTCTGCATTGGACTGAGGGGACTCCTGAAAATGGATCAAAAGTAACCATAGGTCATTACATGCACAAGGTTGTTTAGATTTCCCAACATACTGACATCACATAGTAACTGTAATTCTTTTCCCCTTAAACTTCAATAGCAAAGCCGAATAAAAGAAAAAGGACCAGATATACCAGAGACGATTATTAAGACCAACACTGTTAATGGGCATAGCAAATCACTTAGAAATGCACTAAGGACATGATGAGAAGAAATGCATAAATAAAATGCAAGTATTACAAATAACTTATATAAATACGTGAATAAAAAAGATGAATGCGAATAAAAATAAATGCGGAAATATATAGGAATACAAAAGCAAAAATGGAACATTCCAAATCAAATTCTTTAAGATACGTTATGGCTATAGAAACTAGTTACTGGCAAAGCTTGTAAACCTACCTGTCTGTCTCTGCATGCCGTCTCCTGCCGGGGCCCCTCCTGCACTGCGGGGCCGCTGTTCAGGGGTTTAACAGCAGCAACAGCAGAGCGCTGCGCCCCCCTTCTCTTCTGGCCTGGTTTCAGCTGCACTGCAGGCTTCATGACAGACGGCTTCACATTCAGCTTTGGCCTCACTGAAAGGGAGAAAAAAGTTGAAATATTTAATATACATACTTCCAGTCACAGTGCTTTGTAGCCCTTTCCACCTGTGCAGAGGATCTGCCACACACATGTTCTTGTCTACGAACCCTGTTTGCGGTCCAGCTATTCCATGACCAAACCACCAGGTTCCTTAAATCCCATACGACAATTAAGCTGTCATGTCAGCTTAATTGTCATTCCACCGGGTGGAATTTTCATTCCACCGGGTCCGTCTGCGGCGTGTTATGCTGCGGTTTTGTTCCGACCTCCTCCAGCGTTTCAGAAGCGGAGCGTTTTGCGTGCCGGCTCGCAGTTTTTGTTGATTTGGGCATATTTCCTGGATAGGCTACTTTGTACAGACAAAGTTAATAATAATTGTAATATTCCAGTTATAAACGACATAAATCAAAGATGTGTTGCTGTATTTTAGTGGTAAAAAAATGCATTCATCATCATAATTATTATATACTTTACACAGTGCCTGTAAACCGGAGGAGAACGCTGGCATTTCTCCTCCTACTTGAAAGACTAGGAGGGATAGGGTCTGCAAAATTAGTTTATTTTGGGGATTGACTGGATGCTCTGACCGGTCCACTTCCTGCCCGGCGCTATGCAACGCCTCGCATCAAAAATATACCAGCCGCCTATTTCTAGCGGAGCCCAGCACCGAGACGCTTCTGGGACGCAATGCAGCGCGTCTGGTGGAAACACACGCATTGACTAGAGTGGCCACGATCGAGGTGAACACTGCGGCGCAGATGTAACGCGGCGCAGAATACAATACAATACCCGGTAGAATACAGGGGTTAGGTGGGTTCCTGTTGTGGCAAAGTTGATCTTCATATGAAGTAAAGTATAAATGTATTATTTTATTGTCATCCGTTTGGTATTTTCAAAGGCCTCAGAATCTTTCACACTTACGTGAGGTGACTGGTTGTCTGTGTGAGTTAAGCCGAGATGAAGATTTGGTAGTTATTCCTTACTCCTATCTGTCTGGACCAATGGTTACAAATAGTAACGATGGGATCATACAACTGAATAAGCTTAAATAAATCAGATATTACTTTGATATGACTGAATCCAAGCTGTACCGAGACCTTCTCTGTGTGAAGTGTTATTATAATATTTAAGTAAGGATCACTGAGGCTCAACAAGCTCTGAAGCTCTAGGCTCAAGCAGAAACATGGCTGCAAAAGGAAGTATGCGTTACAGTTAAAGATAAAATACCTTTAGTGTTTGCAGTGTGTTCTGGGGATTTCTGATAATTGTTCAGTGTTATATCAGAAGTAGCACCCTGTGGAGCCGCTCTGGCCTGCCTGGCTAGCGGAAGTGAAGTGGGACTCCTTGTGTTTTTGTCTGGGACCTCCCTGGAGCTGCCGGGGCTCTGCGAGTCACACTTGGTCTCAGCTTGCAGTGGAGAAGAGCTCTTCTTCACAGGGCTTGAGGATGCAGTTGTAACGGCAGCAGGTCTTATACGAGGAGGCGAGCTGTTCAGAGGGGAAGCAGCCTTGGATTTGAGAGGGATCGGTTTACTAACAGGGAGCTTTTGGGTTGAAGGGGTAGAGTCAGGGCATGAAGAGCCTTGGTATGTGACAGTGACATTAGCAGGAACCTTCCTTTTCAAGGTTCCTTCAGTGGTTTGTTTCAGAGAAGGCTCTGCTTCAGCCAAGCCTTTGGCTTGCTCCTCCATTTCCTGCTTGCGAAGGCGCTTCTCCCGCATGATCTCCTCAAAGGTCTTGACCTTTAGATTGTTACTGGTGGCATCTCTGGCCTAGAGACAAACAGGAAATAACCGTCAGGTGGAGTTATCACAGAGTAACAAGCAACCATAGCCAATACTGCAGAATCTGCTACACACTGTACCTCAGGAGCAGCAGGGGGAGTTTTCACTGTCTCCTTGGTCACTTCATCACTCTTCTCTGTTGTTCCGTTGCCTGCTGAGTTCAACATAATGTACATTTCAGAAATACAGAAATGTGCAAAACGAGCGATAGCAAATGTGTTAAACAGTTTACAGCAGTAGGTATGATCAACAGTTCTGCAAACATCCCTTCTGCTAAACGATAGATGTGGGTGCTTTCTCACTTTGCCGAGTCGGTTTCTTGATGCACGAGGCTAGGCGAGGCTTTTTAGCATCAGTCTCTTCAGAATCAGAGCTCTTCTTGTTCTCAGCCTCCAGGGACTGCTGAGCTGGACTCCTGCCTGCCTTCTCCATGCGGATCTCCTCCAGAGTCTTCACTCCAAGCTCCCCCAGGTTTGCTGCCTCAGGACTAGCAGCCACAGTGTCAGACGGTCCCTGGCTCTTGCCTGCAGCTTTCTCTACACTGAGCCTGGCCTTCTTGAGGGTGGGGCTTTGATCCTGTTCCTCCTGCCTTTTCTTCTTAGCATGCAGGATCTCAGAGAAGGTTTTGATGTGGCTAATGGGATCCTTTTTGATGGTGATAGTTCGCTTAGCACTCTTGGTCGGTTTGGGTATGTCGGTTTCAGGATCGGCTTTACGGCTCTGGGACGGAGATTTTCCTGCCTTCTCCTGTCTGATTTCCTCCAGAGTTTTGATGTGGATCTGCTCAGAATCTTTCCTTGACTCCACGTTGGTCTCAGCTATAGGGACGGTTAGAGGACAATGAAAACTATGTATTCATCAATATTCATAATTCAATCCTTTCCAAACTAAATGATAAACAGTTGTAGCTTTATATATTTGTCCGACTTCTTACCTGGTTTGGTGGGTGAAACAGACCCGGGCAATCCAAGTCTGTCCTTAATTGGCTTCAAAGCTGTACAAGCAGAAGAAATTAAATGTTGTAATAGATACATTTTTCATTCTGTTTGTACAAACATATCTGTCACATTAGTGCTCTGCCCAAAGATAGATCATCAGCATGATTTGGGGTCAAATGTTACAGGTGGTGTTTTAGGTTATACCTACTTTTTGATGTGACCTGAACACTAACCTTTTTGAGGGGGCATTAATGGCTCTTCCTCATCCACAATTCTTCCCAGACGCCCAGCCAGACCTCTTCTCAGTGGAACACCATCTCCATTGTTCATATCTACAGCAAGAACAAGTCATGAGCTGCTAATCTTTGAAAACTACTATTATGAGCATCGGCACTTCATCTGTTGAGGTGTTTAACAAGAGGGCATCTACCGCTGTTGGGCATCTTCTTCCCAAGCCTTTCAGCCACACTACCTCTGGGTCTCCCAGTTTCTTGAAAGAGAAGTGGGCCTAAAAGAGAGGGACCATGTGCTGTTTAGAACAAAGTGATATTGACTTTACTTCCAGTTAGAACTCAAAAGTAGCCGTTATTATTCTGTTATTATACCAATGTTACAGAGCCAAGTACGATTTTGCTTATAGCAATCATGAGCAATATATTTGGAGTGTAAATAGTAAAAAACAATCCTGTGCTTATTATGTCTAATTTATCACTCAATATCAATATTACAGTTGTTTTGTCCAACAAATACAATAATACTAAACATTCAAAATAGCCTCAAAGTTTTCGGGATTGTGTTATTTTTACCACAACCCCTGGCACTGATTTTTCTTAAAAACTGATCATACATAAAAAGGTTTATGCCATTAGTGTTTTTGTGATCAAATTCATAATAATTTCACAAAATTCACATTTGACCATATCTTCAGAGCCAAATATAAAATGCGTAAATCTGGAAGCAGGAATGATGCAGAGTTGGATATCCTAACACCTGAAATTCTGACAATGTTTACCATCTCCAGTCTCAAAGAGGGCTGGTCGGAAGAATGACTGGATGTTTTCTTTCTCTCCGTTGGATGAAGTATCAGCCCTCTGGATGGGGTAACCAGTTCTCTTCATGCTGGCCTTCAAGGCCTTCCTAAGCCGAATCTCCTCCAAGGTGCTCACTCCAAAGTTCAGTAAGTCTAGTGTGAGGATAACATTACACCGTAAAATCATAGTCATTCCTTAAAGAGCAACTTCCAGGTTAAAGAAACCTGTGAATAAATGTGTAGGAAAATGATGAATACAATAGATTTTCAAAAAAATATACAGAAATATACACTACAGTGACATCTGGCGTCGTTTTTGTAAGAAATGTTCACTTCCGCATAAAAAAGCCTCGGCACGTGACCTCCCGCGTGTGACGTAACACGGGGGACACAAGGGGGAGAGCGGCCGGTGTAACGTATTAATAAACATGGATCCCAATGCTAGTTTCGACACAGAAGACAGAAGAAGTTGAACATGAATATTCGAATGCATATGACGGACCACAACCTTATAATTATGAGCCTGCTAGGCGTCCAAGAGACCAGGAGCAGCTAAGGATTAGAAGAAATAACGGCCATCGGAGAGAAATTGAGCTGTGGTGTGAGGAGAACCAGTGGAGAACTGGGCAGCTATCTTGGTGAGTGACCGGCG